AACTTCGGTTATCTCCACCATTTCCTATGAAGGCCGCCTATACCGTTTTTATATAAGAACTCCTCTTACGTTTGGTCTTTTTTACCTGGAGGAGCTCTTCGATCGTCGATTTCGATCACCTTGTGATGTTCTTTCTATGGAGTGATGGACTTCTTTTCTATTTAGGGACTTTACTATTGATGTGACAACTTTTCATGGGATGGTGTAAAATCATCCCCAACAACATTAACTGAAGCAATTCAAATTATAGAATTGAAAACTTTAGTTTGTTAACTAGTCGGTTAATAGGTGATTTTCCCGCATATACGCGGATAAATTATTTATGTAGTTTTATTTTAAATTTTAGTCTTTAATAATGTGAAATATTTAGTAGTTTGGTTTTTATTATAGAAATTGTTGTTAATTCTTTTGTTAATTTTTTTATCAATAATATCGTTTTTATTAATAATATGAATTTCAGAAATTTAGCTTTACCATTTAATTATCTTATATATGTAAATGTGTCAAGTCAAAATATATATTAATTTAATACATTAGAGTTTAAAAAATGTTAAATTTGGCTTTTCCGAATAAGTTAAGTAGTATTTAGAATACAAATAAATTACTTAATATTTTAAAATATATAATCATAAATTTTATAAATGAAACACAAATTAAAAAAATTGCTACTTTAATTTGAATTAAAAATTATTTTTATTACTTTCAAATTGTCTTGCGTTAAAAAAAAATTTCAAAATAATAATTATATTTGTTGTTATTAGCTTAGGAAGTTATTTTATATATGTTCACGTGTCAACTCAAAAAATATAATAATATAATACATAAGAGTTAAAAAAACATGTTAACTTTGGGTTGTCCAAATACCTTAAGAATAATTTAGAATACAAATAAATTATTTAATATTTTAAAAAATTAAAATATATAATCGTAAATTTATAAATAAAATCCGGATTAAAAAGAATTGCTGCTTTAGAATAAAAAAATATATTTATTACTTTCAAATTGTTTGGCATAAAAAAAATTCAAAAGAATAACTACATTTTTTGTTATAAACTTGAAAGTTTTTTTTCATAGAGATA